TTTTCTCTAACTTGACTGGAGAGCCACAATTGGGTCAACAAAATGACCCAGTGCATCTGTTCTTCTGGAAGGATTCACTGTTTGATGCCACTGGGTCTTTTTTTCCCCTGCGTGTGAAGTTCCCTTCGTCTATATGGGCTGCCCTTAGGGTATCTCCACGGAACAGAATCCTCTGAGAAGCATAAAGATGTGTAGGGTAAGAAGAGCCACAGGAATGAAGATTTAAGAACAAAACAGAAGAATAAAAGGATACCGGAGTTGGTTTCCTATCTGGGCCTAAATGTTAAGAATATTTAAAGTGCATGCTTTAAGATTTGTCTGGGGTGGACAGAATAGATGGTTGTCACACAACTTGTATTCTTAAGTGTAAGAAGTAAATAAAAAAATAAACAGTCCTGAAAAACTAAGAAGATAAGTTATATAGTTTTTAAAGAACAATGATTGTACCTAGAACACATCTCTTATCTTTCAAAACTTACAATGTGCAGACTGGTTTTGTTATCAGTGCATTGATATTTATGGTACTTGTGGGTATTCCAGGTACTGCAATAGAATTGATTTAGGGGTTTTGTCAGTCTTGGAAGTATTCTAAAGGCAAGCATAAGTGCACACATACGCACACGCCTATATAGAGAGAATGTGTGTGTGCGCGCATGTGTGTGTGTGTGTAACAGACTTTTGTTAGATGAGGAAGATTTCAACCTACCCTGAAATGCAAATGGAGAATTTAGACCATACAAACCAAATATTAGTGTTTTATCCTGCAACACAAGTATCTTGTGTCACTTCATAGTGCTTACATAATGGCTTGAATGCTCCAGTTTTTGCCAATATATTTTACCTAATTTTGTACACCCTCCTAGTGGTGCAGAAGATAAAGGATGCTAAGAAATTGTATAACCAAAGGACACCTTGGTTCCCTGCAGCCATGAGTATGAAAAGACATCATGACAAGGTGGCACACTTCTTCTGGGCGTTGAAAGCCTTTTAGGGTGAGGAAAAAGTAGACTAGAGTTTACACTCAGGGATGCCTTTATCTTTTGAACCTCCCTGAAAATAACTTCCAGTCTTCTAGCAGTTAGTGAGCCTCTGGGGTTTGGGAACTGGATGGAGGGTTCGCTCAGTTCTTTAAAACCCAATACATTTCCATTTCTATTTTATAACCAAGTAACACACCAATTACATGCATGGTTTTTTTAAAAAATTATTTTTATTATTTTTGAGTTGGAGTCTCAATTCTGTTACTCAGGCCGGAGTGCAGTAGCATGATCACAACTATCGCTGTCTTGACCTATAGGACCCAGGTGATCCTCCAGCCTCAGCCTCCCAAGTTGCTGGGACTACAGGCGCATGCCACCATGCCTGACTAATTTTTTCATTTCCTGTAGAGATGAGGTCTCGCCAACTTGCTCGGGCTAGTCTCAGACCCCTGGATTCAGGCAATCCTCTCACCTCAGCCTCCCAAAGTACTGGGATGACAGGTGTGAATCACTGCACCTGGTTACCATGTATATTTTAGATACATGTATTTTCACTTCAAAACAAAATGGACTGAGGCCTTGCAAGTGCATAAGGAGAGAGGCTGGGGCAGTGGAGGCCATGTGGCGATGCTCTCTACTGGGCTTCTCAGCTGGCTTATCTCTTAGTTGACCACAGCTAGTCACCAGGACAGAGTTGAACCACCTGACGATTTTTCATCACTTTTAGTCTCCTTTATATATTGTTTCACTTAGACCTTTATGTCTGTTCTTTTAAAGACAGGAAGCCAAAGGGACATGGATATTTAAACACAAGTCCACAAGAAGCCTTAAAATAATTCTGCAAACTCATCTCAAGATATTCCTGACCAAATTCATAAATTACATTTGTCTGATCAAAAGTCTTGTCTCACAAATCAAGATGTTTCTTGTACAGCAAAAATCAGTAAAAAGAAAAAAAAATGGCAACATCCAAATTAGCTTTTGAAAATTGGGAATAAAGACAAGCTGTTGTTTAAGGGGAGGAAGACTGTTTGCAAAGTGCAGGTTGATTTTTTTTTTCTTTGTTTACCAAACTTTAAGAAAAAGCCAATTGGTAAAGCTACAACCTAGTATGAGATTATAAAAATCCTTTTTTTCTATTTTGACACAGTAAGATACAATTAAATTTTAATCTTTTTTTTTTTTTAAGTTGGAGTCTTTCTGTTGTCACCCAGGCTGGAGTGCAGTGGCATTCTCATAGCCTCCGCAGCTTCGACCTGCTGGGTTCAGGCGATCCTTCTGCCTCAGCCTTCCAAGTGGCTGGAATTACAGACGCATGCCACCACGCCCTCCTAGAAATTTTAATCTTTTAAAAATGTATATATTCTTCCTCCAAACCAGTCACAAGATAAGAAATATTTTTAAACTTTATTGTCAAGAAGTCTGCTTTCTCCTACAACAATCAATGAAAAGCAAATTAAACAACACGTGTCTATAGTCAGATGAAAAAAGTAAAAACTTAGCATATGTAATAAGCACATATGAATAATGTTAAGGTCCACATTTTAAATAAACTTGATAATACATCTTTAATAATATGATAGTCTACAGTAAGATGTTTTACTTAAATTTCTTTTCTTTATCATGCCACACACAGATGTAAAATGATTAAGGGAGTTTAGAAAATTATGTGTTAGTGTGAAAGGAGTTTGGAGTAAAAAAAAAAGGAGGGGGCTATTGAACCATGGGGATAATCTCTATATAATCAGTCCCCTAACCTTTTTTTTTTGAGTTGGAGTCTCACTCTGTCGCCCAGATTGGAGTGCAGTGGCAGGCTCCCAGCCACCACAGCCTCAACCTGCTGGGCTCCAACGATCCTTCCACCTCAGCCTTCCAAGTAGCTGGAACTACAGGCGCGTGCTACCACACCCGGCTAATTTTTTATTTATTGTAGAGACAAGGTCTTGCCAAGTTGCCCGGATGGAGCTCAAACCCACGGGCTCAGGCAATCCACTCACCTCGGCCTCCCAAAGTGCTGGGATTACAGGCTGAGCCACCGAGCCCAGCCACCCCTGAACCATTTTTAACACCCCAAAGGCTTATGTGAGTAAGAATATACATTATCGACAAAATAAATATTGCTCTTTCCTGTCCCTCTGTAATTGTCCTTCAGTTTGACTGTAGGAAAGAAAATGTACAATTTGCCCTATTTAATCTGTTTGAAGATGCACATTTTCTGTTACATCAAGATGCCCCTTGCAATCAGTAGAGTCTTCCAATGGATGTCAGCCTGGCTGCAGTTGTAGCTTGACTGTGTGAACATCAAATGAGCCAGCATCAAAACTTGCAGAGTGGTGGGGGGAAGAAAAAGAGAAAAAAACAAAACTTGCAAAATAGGTGTCAATGACTTGGAAGAAAACCATGAGAACAAGAGTGCTTTTTTTTTTTTTTTAACTCCTAGAAACCAAATGGTTGTGGAGGAAGAGGGACTCAGACATGTTTAGCAACATCCTTTAAGCAGGAGTCAAAAGTAACACTAACTAACTGCAGAGCGAGCCTAGGGCAGCCCCCCTCCCCCCCACCAATGACTTGGTTCTTTTCGTGATTATTTTGAGAAATGCTGCATCACCACATTCTTAATATAGAGCTGATATGGTACATAAATACAGACAGCAAAGAGTCTCAGTCAAACGCTGAATAAGAAAAAACTTTAGGAATACCTAAACCAATTTATTTCACTTAATGTTGTTTTTTTTTTGCATGTGCAAGTATAATATGTGATAAAATAACCAGCATCTAGTTAAATTTAAAACAGCCCTTTCAATAAGTATAAATAAACATTCTGATCATGTCATAGTTTAACTTACAATATTTTCTTATTTTCCTTTCCTTCCTTCCTTCCCTCCCTCCCTTCCTCCCTCTTTCTTTCTTTTTCTTCTTCCTTTTTTTTTTGTGACAGAGGGTTGCTCTGTCCCTCAGGTTGGAGTGCATCATGGCTTACTGCAGACTCGAACTCAAGGAATCTTCCTACCTCAGCCTCCCAAGTAGCACATGCTACCAAACACAGGCACATGCTACCATCCTAGCTAATCTTTTTTTTCCAGTAGAGGCAAGAGCTAGTCTTGAACCCCAGCCTCCCAAAGTGCTAAGATTACAGGCATGAGCCACTGCACTCAGCCCAGTTTTTGTTTCTTTTTTCTTTTTTTCTTTTTTTCTTTTTTGAGTTCAAGTCTCACTTTGTCACCCAGGCTGGAATGCAGTGGCACCCTCACAGTCACTGCAGCCCTAACCTGCTGGGCTCAGGTGACCCTTCCACATCAGCCTTTCAAGTAGCTAGAACCACAGGCACGCACCACCACGCCCGGCTAATTTTTTTTGAGTTGGAGTCTCACCCTTGTCATCCAGGCTGGAGTGCAGTGGCACATTCACAGTCACTGCAGCCTTGACCTGCTGGGCTTAGGCGATCCTTCCACCTCAGCCTTCCAAGTAGCTGGAACTACAGACGCATGCCACCACACCCGGCTAGTTTTTGTGATTTATTGTATAGACGAGGTCTCACCAAGTTACCCAGACTGGTCTCAAACCCCTGGGCTCAAGCAATCCCTTTGCCTTAGCCTCCCAAAGTGCTGGGATTGCAGGCGTGAGCCAATGTGCCAGGCTGTTTCTTAATGGCACATAAAATAATGATGCTTCTTACAATAATATCTCAGTTTAAGTGAAAAGGGGCATGCAATTTGGGGATACCGTCTGCTTCCCTCTTCTCATGAAATGCATAGCTAATGAGCTAGAGTGACCTAAAATGGTTGCTAATTCCACTGTGTTCCTAACTGCTGTTGGTTGCATTCCATTTTGACAAGAACATTTGGTTGTGCTCTTATTTTTATTTGACATAGGGACCTTTTTTGGACCAAGACTTTTAATATCATGTGGTTCCTATTTAATTGTCCCTAAAATTTTTCTCCAGAGGAGAAATTCTAGTAGTTCAGTTTCGCATGTGTAATTTCTTGGGAGTGTCGGGTTTACTCTCGTTTCCTTTACTAGGGGTGCAGGCTGCATCTTTATTGAAATGTTCCAGGGTCAACCTTTGTTTCCTGGAGTTTCCAACATCTTTGAACAGCTGGAGAAGATCTGGGAGGTAAGAGAAGAATCCCTCTTAAGGAAATGAAATATCTTTGTTCCAAATTTTGAACCAAATTTACCTTGCAAACAAATGAAGCAGTCCATCTGCTGGGAGCCGGTAAGCCACATGTCAAGGTTGTAGAGAATGTGGTGTTTGCTGCAGGTAGAAGCACCTCGGGGGTGGCTGACCAGGATCCCCCTGCAGTCTCAGAGTAGCCCCTGCATCTTCTCCACGGATGACTTCCAGCCTCCTGCTCCCTACTTTATCGTTGTCTTAACCTCCCAGGGCAGTTTCTGCCACAACTACTAAGGCACGAGCCTGCCTTGCCACCTCTGAGTCTGGTTCTACCATAGATTTGGCCCTGGAACTTTGCCAGCTGAAGAAAAGAGACTACATTTTCTTTTTTTTCTTTTTGTTTTTCTTTTTTTTTTGAGTTGGAGTCTCACTCTGTCGCCCACACTGGAGTGCAGTGGCCACTCCCGGCCACCGCAGCCTCCACCTGCTGGGCTCCGGCGATCCTTCCGCCTTGACCTCCCAAGTAGCTAGAGCTGCAGGCGTGCGCTACCACGCCTGGCTAATTTTTGATTTATTGTAGAGATGAGGGCTCGCCAAGTTGCCCAGGCGGGTCTCAAACCCGCAGGCTCAGGCAATCCACTCACCTCAGCCTCCCGAAGGCGCGGGATTACAGGCTGAGCCACTGAGCCCGGCTAGACACTACATTTTCACAGAACCCTGATAAAACAGAGGCTTCCGTGTTCATGTGAGAAAAGTCTACCTTTTATCACGCTCATCCACAACCTCATTCTTAAGGTCAAGGTGCCTTAGTGTGTGGTGTGGGTGTGTGTGTGTGTGTTGTGTGTGTGTTTGCCTTTCTTTCTCTCTTCCCCTCCCTCCTTCTCCCCCCTTTCCCTCCCTCCCTCTCTCCTTCTCTCACTCTCCCTTCCCCCACTCTCTTTCTTTTGTAGAGGTAGGGATCTAACTTTATTGCCCAGGCTAGTTTTAAACACCTGGGCTCAATTGGTCCTCTTACCTCAGTCTTCAGAGGTGTTGGAATTACAGATGTAAGCCACCATGTCTGGCTATAAACTGAGTTTTAAAACACCACATACAGCTAGGTGTGGCAGCATCCACCTATAGTCTTAGCTATGTGGGAGGCTGAGGTGGGTGGATCCCTTGAGCCTAGGAGTTTGAATTCAGCCTGAGCAACATAGCGAGACCACGTCTCTAATTTTAAAAATATAGTAATAAAGAAAATTTAAAAAATAACATAGTACATACTATTTTTTAAAGAATACACACTTAGAAGTCATAGAACAGAAAGAGTGGGATAGATGGTTTCCAAGACCTAATTTTTGTTGTTGTTGTTGTTTTGATAGGGTCTCACTCTGTTGGCTAGGCTGGAGTACAGTGGCAGGATCATAACTCACTGCAGCCTCAACTCTTGGGCCCAAGTGACCCTCCTGCCTCAGCCTCCCAAGTGGCTGGGACTATAGTGTGCCACTACGCCTGGCTAATGTTTTCTAAAAATTTTGTAGAGATGAAGTCTTGCTATGCTGTCCAGGCTGATCTGATGACTCTTCAATTACAGTAGACCAAGCACTGTGCTAGAAAGGAATAAAAATAATTTTTATTATTTTATTTTATTTTATTTTATTTTTTTGAGTTGGGGGTCTCACTCTGTCACCCAGACTGGAATGCAGTGGCATGCTCCCGGCCACCGCAGCCTCGACAAGCTGGGTTCTGGAGATCCTTCCATCTCAGCCTTCCAAGTAGCTGGAACTGCAGGTGTGCGCTACCATACCCGGCTAAGTTTTTGATTTATTGTAGAGATGAGGTCTCACCAAGTTGCCCAGGCGGGTTTCGAACCCGCGGGCTCAGGCAATCCACTCACCTCAGCCTCCCAAGGTGCAGGATTACAGGCTGAGCCACCAAGCCCGACTAAAAATAATTTTTAAACCTGCTTGAGATATAGTGGTATAAATGACAACAAACTTACTGAATGCAATGATATTCTCACTTTGTCCTCAGTGTGGAACTACAGAAGTGATAACAAAACTGCAGTCCCATGTTTACATGCTACAGTGAACATGGGAACACAGATATCTCTTCAAGAAACTGATTCCATTTCCTCTGGCTACATGCCCAGTAGTGGGATTACTGGATCATGGTAGTTCCATCTTTAATTTTTCGAGGAACCCCCATATCATCTTCTATAATGGCTGTACTAATTTACATTCCCGCCAACACAACGGTATGCAAGTGATCTCTTTTCTCCACATTCTTGCCGACACCTGTCTTTCATCTTTTTGATAATAGCAGTTCTAACAGATGTGAGGTGATGTCTCATTGTGGTCTTAACCTGCATTTCTCTGATGATGAGTGACATTGAGCATTTTTTATATACCTGTTGGCTGTTTGTTTATCTTCTTTTGAGAAATGTCTTTTGAGGTACTTAGTCCATTTCTGCTGCTATATCAAATATCTAGACTGGGTAATTTATAAAGAACATAAATTTATATCTCTTAGTTCTGGAGGCTGAGAAGTCTAAGATCAGGCATTGGCAGGTTCAGTGTCCAGTGAGGAATTGGTCTCTGCTCCCAAGATGGTGGCTTGTTGCTGCATCCTCCACAGGGAACGAGTCCTGTGTCTCCGAGTGATAGAAGGATGGACAAGCAAAAGGGCCTAGCTAGTTTCCTCCAACCCTTCTATAAGGACATTATTTCCATCCAGAAGGGCAGAGCCTTCATGGCCTAATCACTTCCTGAAGGCTCCACCTCCTAATACTTGTGCACTTGGGATTGAATTTCCACATGAATTTGGAGGGAACATAAACATTTAAATCATTTCAGGTCCTCTGCCTGTCTTTTAATGGGATTATTTGTTTTCTTACTATGGAGCTGTTTGAGTTACTTATATATTTTGAACTCTTTATCAGATGTGTGGTTTGCAAATGTTTCTTCCCATTTGGAGGTTGTCCCCTCACTCTGTTGATTGTTTCCTCTACTGTGCAGAAGCTTTGTAGTTTAATGTGTTCCCATTTGTCTATTTTTACTTTTGTTAACTGTGAAGCAGGTGAGAAAATTATACAGATTACAAATATCTCCTGAATTGTTGTTTTACCACATGTGACCTACACAGATGAAAATAGGAAACCTATTTCAGGTTCTATGATATCTGATGTAGGAATTGCTTCTTTGAAAGCAATGGGTCCATTCTAAATCCTCCAACCTCTAACCAATATTTCCTTTACATTTATCTTGAGATCTCACTCTTAAGAATAAAGATGTATTGAAAAGTCCTGAATCTTTATTTTCCCATCATTCTGAAATACCTGAGTGTGTGTGTTTACATCTCAATAAGAGCTGCCACCACTTCCTGATTGATTTTAACTCTGTTTCCATAAGGGTTTTTTCGCAAATAATCCTGAATTCAGTTCTAGAACCAGAATAAACTATGTAGACTTTGACTTCATTCATCAGAATGCCTTCAGTTTCCATTTCAACAAAGGCAGATAAACAGCCCCTCCGACCCTCTGTGGTTTCAAACATAACACTCACTAGCTGCCTTTTAAGAGCCTTCTGGGAGGGAATGAATCAACAATTTTTGGTTTTCAGTTTCCCCATCAGTGAAGGGGAGATTTAGTCATTTTCTCAAGTGAAAAAGAATTCAATAACATTCAAATAGGAACTGAGACTCAAATTTCCAAATAAAGTATATTGAATTTTTGTTTAAACTTTTAAAATCTCAAGATTAAAGCTTTGACCGTAAGGTTTTCAAAACTTTTTGGTATCATTTTGTTGGCTTTAGTTAAACATAATATAAAGTAGCCAACAATTCTGGTAATATTCATCTTGGAGAAAATATGAATGCAGTTGTTGGGTATTTCTTTTTCTTTTCTTTCTTTCTTTCTTTTTTTTTTTTTTTTTAAGTTGGACTTTCACTCCATCATCCAGGCTGGAATGCAGTGGCACAATCACAGCCAACACAGCCTCAACCTGCTGGGCTCAGGTGATCCTTTGCCTCAGCCTCCAAGTAGCTGGGATTACAGGCATGCACCACCATGCCTGGCTAGTTTTTTGATTTATTGTAGAAATGAAGTCTCGCCAAGTTGTCTAGGCTAGTCTTGAACTCCTGAGCAATCCTGGCAATCCTCTCACCTCTGCCTCCCAAAGTGCTGGGATTATAGGCATAAACCACTGTGCCTGGCCAGTTGTTGGGTATTTCTTGCATCGTTTTCTGTCCTTCTTTTTGTTTTTTCATTTTCTTTGCCAGCCAAGAGAGGATGCATGGGCACATGTGAATCACACCCACTGGTTCACACACACGTCTGCGCAAGTACATGAGACGACAGACTTAAAAAGAACTCACTCCCCATCCCCTGGTCCTCTCCCACAAAAGGAGAATTAGTCCAGTTGGTTTCTCAAAATGGATTCCAGGATTCTTCTTGTTCCTTCAGGCTCAGGATAGTTGATAGGAAGAGCCTGTAATCCTCTCAGTGGCTTTTCAGTTTGTTAAGGGATGGATCAAAGAAGGGAGATTTGCCTGGGTGGCATGGTGGAGTATTTTTGTTTTGTTTTGTTATTTTGAGTAGGAGTCTCTGTCGCCCAGACCGGAGTGCAGTGGCATGCTCCCGGTCACTGAAGCCTCGACCTGCTGGGGCTCCAGCGATCCTTCCACCTCAGCCTTCCGAGTAGCTGGAACTACAGGCGTGTGCTACCACGCCCAGCTAATTTTTTATTTATTGCAGAGACAAGGTCTCGCTGAGTTGCCTGGGTGGCCTCCCAAAGTGCTGGGATTACAGGCTGAGCCACCGAGGGAGGTCAGCCGTTTTTTGTTTTTTTTTTTTAATAGGAGAGAAAATAGCACTTCAGTGACTTTTGTTTGAAGACAAGCTTAACAGGTCCAAAAAGTATACCTCTCAGCCAGAGTCCTAGTCAGCAAGCTGATAGATATTAAGATTCTGGATTCTTTCTTGATTGTATTCAGTCCTTGTTGGGCAACTGACTTCTCCCCATCACAGCTGAGCTGGTATCTAGATCCAGTATTTTGCAGATGGGCTCACAAAGCTCCTTTTACAGGGAACACTTCTAAAAAGAGTTACATCAACGTATCTAAGAAGCATTATATTGTAGTGGTGTCATGAAAGCTACTAGTGTTTTACTAGTATTTCGCAAAAACAATGTTATTCTGACTCCCAGGTATAACTACCTGTGGACTTTTATGATTATCTTAAAAGAATGGTAAGATAATGCCTGCAGGAATTCATGGTGACAGCTCCATCCGAAATCTGATCTGTCTTGGCTTTGTACTCCAAACGACTTTTGTCATACATCTTAACTAAATTTTGGTAGCTTCAGTTTGGTAGTCCAAGGCATAGGCCAGCCCTTTTTCCAGGGATGCTGTTACCATCACAATCCACCAGTGAAAGACCAAATGCCATATTCCAAGCTGCCATCACAGAGAAAACAAGCAGATGAGATGAATCTGCTAGGCCTAGAGTAAGCTTTGAGGTCTTCTTTAGCCTGCATTCCATGGCCTGAAGGTCAGGAAGTCTTTTTGATTTGAGCCCATCGGGGAACAGCTGAGTGACCATGTGGAAGCAGAATTTCGATTGTCAAGCATCCCCTGTCAGCATACATATGGTCATCTGATGTGAGACAGAGGGACAGCCACTTCTGCTTCTTTGTGTCCCTAACTCCCAACATGGCGTCCTAATGCATGGTGATCTTGTGGTCAATATGTAGTGATAAGAACATGGTTTTTAAACAAGGCTGTATGATCTGCCTCAGAGTAAAAAGTGAGTGCGTGAGGACACAGGAATGGGAATCCATTATAGTTTTGCCCAAGAAACTGTGTATGTTGGCAACACTAATGTTTCTTTCTCCTATACATCAACAGGTGCCATGTGATTACGTCTAATTCGTCCCCCTACCTCCCTGACCCATCCTGCATGTCTTCATACATGTTCCACCCCTCTGGTCTCCCCGCTCACCTTTTTTTTTTTTGCTCTTTCTTTGGCTTTCTATAGGTGCTGGGAGTCCCTACAGAAGATACCTGGCCTGGAGTATCCAAGTTACCTAACTACAACCCAGGTAATATTGATCTGAGCTTCTGAATGCTTTGAGAATGAGTCATGTAAGGAAAGTGTTGACCACACAAGCAGGATGTCCTTCTAGCATTATGAACTCAGCATCTGAGATGAGTCTAAATGAATGTCTAGGTTCATATATTCCCTGACTAATCCTTGCATGAGAAGGACATTACCATTGCAGCTAAGGTTAGATCAGTTCCCCAAGTCTGTAAAACACAAGGAGCAAGCTGCATAAAGTTTGAAATGACCACTGCTGTGGATTCCACATCTGTTGTCAAATGTCCAATGGCGCAAAAGAACACTTCAAAGATGGTCTCACTTTTGAGCTCCATGACTATCATGAGTTTATTTGCCAGATTACAGAACCTAATAAATTATAAAAGGGAAACTAATGCGACAGAGGAGATGCAGGGGCCTCACTAGGTCTATGACGGACAGGTAAGATAGCGCTGGATCACACATTTGGTCTTCCCAGAATGGCTCCTGGGAGTGGATTTAGAAGTGTTGTCATCTTTGAGAAACTGTCCCAAGGCCACACCAGAGAAATCAGATTACTCAGTAGTTACCTCAAGAATTCAGAGCCATGTGGGAGGAGATAAGCAATGAGCTACAGGATGAAGGACCATATCAGAAGCTAGAGAAGCAGGGCCAGGTGTGGTGGCTCACACCTATAATCCCAGCACTTTAGGAGGCTGAAGTGGGAGAATTGCTTGAGGCTGGGAGCTCAAGACCATCCTGGGCAACATAGCGAGACTCTGTCTCAAAAAAATAAAAATAAAAAAGCGGGGATCTTACTGACAGAATTAAAGGAGTTAAAGGGGAGACAAAGCCCAGATTCACATGTATGTGCTCCAAGCCAGACTTTCTAGTCTTGATACTCTTACATTGTTCCGTTACTAAAAACAGTGGCTCCCTCAAAATTGTCCTGGCTGAATTCTTAGTACTCCTTAGAAAGGAAAGGAAAGGAATGGAAATCCCATTGAGAATGGTGTTCACACAACTCTCACCTGGTTCATGTTTCTGGCTCCTTCCTCCTCTCCTGCTCCCCTTAAGCATGGCCTCTAAGAGCGTGGTGGCAGCTCAGGGATGGGGACTAGTGACCTACTGACTCACATAACGGGGTGTTAGCTGTCCTTACTAATGGTGGTATGAGATGATCCTGGAAGGGTTTCATGAGAGCAAGAAACTGGAGGGAGAGATAACAGGTGATTTGGGAAGAAAACAAAAGACATAGGGAGCTGGGAGGTTTTTTCTTCTTTCCTCCAGCATCTAATACTTTTGCTCAAACAGCTATACATACGGATCAGGCATCTTGAGCAGGACTATGGAAACCCTATGGAATGCAAAAGACTCACTGTGAAGTCCCTTCAGCTGCTTTGTGAATGATCATTTTCATTGCTAAATGGCCTGACAGTCATTTACAAGTGATTTATGATTTCTAACTACTTTGCTAGAGTTTAACACGTGGAAAAGTGTCACTGGGCTTGGAATAGGGTCTGTTTCCACTGGGCTGAGATAGAGAGAAAAAGTTTCCTGTGGAGATCGTAGTCGTCTGCAGTGGCTCCTGTGTCCAGTTGCCATGGCTTTCAGGAGACCCTGGTTCTCGCCTTCACCAGCCCTGCCCGAATCAGTACAAGTTGGTAAGATTGGTAACTCAGTCCTAAGGCTGATGTTTTAAAAGCGTCATCAACATCTGCATTCCAGGAACACCCCGTTATGTGAGTCAGTAGGTCACCAGTCCCCATCCCTGAGCTGCCACCACGCTCTTGGAGGCCAAGCTTAAGGGGAGCAGGAGAGGAGGTAGGAGCCAGAAACACGAACCAGGTGAGAGTTGTGTGAACACCATTCTTGATGGGATTTCCATTCCTTTCCTTTCCTTTCTAAGGAGTACTAAGAATTCAGCCAGGACAATTTTGAGGGAGCCACTTGTCCAGAACCTGAGAACCATCCAGTGTCTGTCCATACCCACGCTGCCATTTCTGGAACTTGTCTGGGCTCTGTCTAGGAGGACAACACAGTTTCTGTTTATACAGGTTTTTAAAAAACTCACCTGGTGTGGACCCAGCTAGACAGGCCTCTCTAGCCAGCTAACTGTTTTCTTGGTGCTCTGGTGAGCAGGGCTGTAGGTTTCCTAGCTGTCAGTTCAGACTTTTGTGTCTGATTAAATCTGGGCAAGGTAAGAGGGCTTTATGACTTTAGAGGCTGACTTCCCTTTCTTCCCTCCCTCCCTTCGTTTCATCCTTCCTTTCCCCCATTCCTTCCTTCCTTTCTGTCTCCCTTTTCCCCTCCTATTCTCCCTCCCTCTCTCTCTCCCTTTTTCCTTCCCTTCCTTCCTTCCTTCTTTCCTTTCCTTCTCCCCCACTCCCCATTTTAAGCAAGCTGGCTGAGAACTCTGTGTCCTCCACTTCAAAGGGCCAGTTGTCTTATTTTGATGTGGGCAGATTGAGAAGTAGGCTTTGAAAAGTAGGCGCTTTTTTTGTTTAATCTTTTCTCCTGGGATAGCTTTCAGAGCAATATATCCAAGTGTCAGTGAGGGGGTTCTGATGAGCTCGGATTCCCAGACTCTCAGCAGGATCATTCTCTAACAGAAATATAAAAGTGAAATATTAAAAACCCTGGAACGTGAACTCCATCTGCAGAGTGGCCAGTGTCTTGTCTGCCTGCACCATGGGAAAAAAAATCTTGAAAAAAGAGGGAGAAGGGGAAAAAGTGCTTTGAGTAAAGAGGTTGACAGGTTTAGTAGAGCATAGTAACATCCCCTCAAAGAAGTGGGTGTTGCTCTGTGACTCCCCAAAATGCTCCTCCTTTGACTCAGCCACCAGAACATTCCTCCCTCCCCCTCAACACACCCCCTTTTCACATGCTAACTGAGGCACCCCTGATTGGCTGAACAATACAGTGGTCACACTTGCTAAAGGCCTGCCATCTTTCACACAATTAGCCAAGACACATTAATCAAGCTGGCCTGGCCGGGGCTGCGAGCCTCCTGCGGTGGGGGAGGGGAGGGTTTGATGCTTCTTACTCAGAGTCCCAGGAAGCAATGACACACCACCGCGCTGGGGGGGATGGGGTGGAGGGGAAGGCCCGGGAGGAATGCTGCAACCAGAAAGTCAGAAAAGGTTAAAGCCCCAGTGGGTGCCAGATCCGGGATGGACTGGATTTGTGGCACAGAAGCTTAGAGCAAACAATGTTTGTCTTGGTTAAAACTCACAGTGGTGTGAATTTAAACAGTGAACCCCTGTAGACATGTCTACAAAGTTCCGTCAGGCTTCTTAGCCCCCCCTACCGCGCCCACAAAAATGTACTTAGGAGTTGCTCTCCTTTGGAGCTTCAAGCACTCCAGGCCAACTGGACAGGGGATTGTGCCAACCCTTGCAGTGCAGGTTTCACCATCAGAACCAGCAGGAATTCAGCAGAGACAGGTAGGAATCACTTGGAACCCATCAATAGAAAGTATTAGCTGGCAAGGTGCGGAGTCCCTGTATTTAAAGGACATTAAAAACAGTTAATCTTGAGAGAAAAAAGTTGAAGTGCATCCTTTGAATCACATGTTCTCCTCTTTCGTTTCCAAATTCCCTTGCAGTAGATTTTCCGCTGGCCATACGGAGCCGATACGATCATCCCTTAGAGACCCGTTGGTTACAGAATCGTGTGGGGCTTTTAAGAGCATCAAATAAATATTTAGACATTTCTCGGCGAAAGTAAACGGAGCCCTTACTCCTCTGGAGGCTGTCCAGTCACCATCTCATTAGACGCAAAGATTCTGCGATAAAGAGAAACTTTTTCCCTGCCCACACGATTGCAGCCCAGTTGTGGGTTTTAATGTGTCATTGATTGTTTCATCCAGCTCCTTTTGCTCTACTGAAAGGGTCTGTCGCGGCTCTGTTTGCTTCCTTCAACACGGTTTTTGAAAGCGCTCACGCTGCGTGAGCTCAAATCCTAGCATTAATGTACTGCTGGGTTCATTTCACCACGCTCAAAAGCGCTGAGTTTAAATCCCTCTCAATTCCATTTGAGGCACCCAAAGACTTGATCCTTCTCCACTAATGGCTCCAAGTTTACATCTAGATACTGAGGTCAAGGACAGGAGAGGATTTAGGAATAACAGTGCATGACATTTGTCAATGCACTTGCCAAATTGGCAATTAGTTCCTGATGTGCGTGCAAAGCATTTTATTCCTGCCTCTTTGATGCTTGTTCCCATAGAGCAGGGAATCGGGCCCACAGAGGCCTTCAAACTTTGCAAGAAATATCTGCTGAAAATCAGGCCCGATTTGTGACAGGAGCTCAGCCGCGGGGAGGCATCCGGGATTATCCTGGTTCTTTTAGTCCCAGGAAAGAACACCGCACGTGGGAAGTTTTTCCACTGGAGGAACTTAGTGGAAATCAAAAGGCAGGAAAACGGCACTAAAAGCCCTGCAGGGACCAGAATCAGACATGCTGTGAGCGACAGGCCCAGGGATACTGCTTGCTTTTCGGCGGGTTTGCTTTGTCAATTTCCGACCACCAGGTGGAAGCAAGAAACAGCAGGGAGGGCACCCAGACCTCGCCGGCATTGCAGTGAGGCTTGCCAGCCATCTCAGAGCATCTTATTCTGCTCTTAAATCCAGTGTGAGAGCTTCGCCGCATCTTACACAGCTATGGGACAGATGATGATTAAAACCTAGAATGATCCTTGTCCTCCTTAGGAGGGTTCCAAGCAAGCATCCATGAATTCAGGCTAAGATCTATACCTGTATTGGTCACAACTTGGTCTACCCTGAGCTTTGAGCCAAGGGGGTATTCAGGTGCTTGAACTAAGGGGAAAGGGATGGATAAGAGAGGCTTTATTTTTATTATTACTTTAAAATATTTATTTATTTATTTATTTGAGTTGGAGGTCTCACTCTGTCGCCTAGGCTGGAGTGCAGTGGCACGCTCACAGCTACTGCCACCTCAAACTGCTGGGCTCAGGCCATCCTTCCGCCTCAGTCTCCTAAGTAGCTGGGACTACAGATACAC